GGATCCGAACCCGGGCCGCCAGCATCAGAGCGCGCGCACTTAACCGCTAAGCCACGGGGCCGGCCCTGTAGGGCCTTTTGTACTGGTTAGTGTTGGTTCTCACAATCCTCCAGTAAGCTCGTACCAAACTCTAACCCTAACCGGAAACTGGAACCAGCCAGGACGTCTCCTCCGATTATTTCAGACATCCTCCGCATTGACAACCTCTGGCAGTTTGAGAACTTGAGGAAGCTGCAGCTGGACAATAACCTCATTGAGAGGATCGAGGGCCTGGAGAACCTCACACACCTGGTCTGGCTGGGTAAGGCCCCTTCCTGTGTGTGTCCGCCCTGATCAAAGGGGATGCCCTGCCAAGGTTGTTGCTTCCCCAGGCACTCCTCAGCGGCCAGCCCAGCATTAGCCCAGGTGCAGCAGAAGCTCTGTGGGGTGGGAGCAAGAAACCCGCTCTTTTTAAAAGCCTGGAGCCTGTGCTGGGCAAAGCACAGCAAAGACGTGCTTAGACACACCAGGACAGGATATTCTGCTCCCACCTGCCAAACCTCCCAGTCTGGGAGGGGGCCAGAGGGGCAGCCGTGGACTCCTTCTAGTTACTCGAGACTCAGGTTGCCAGATGACTGTGGCCCCGCCAGTCAGGGGGGCCCAAGTCAAAGCAGATCAAACCAGAAATAATGGTCACAGCTGCTAGTGTGCACTGTCCATTATGCTCTGCTAAGCCTGGGCCTGGGTGCTCTCCCTGTGAGGCCTTGCGATCCACACAGTATCCCCACTATAGACAGGAGCAGACTGAGTCACAGCAGGGAAACGAGGCATGAGGCTCCCACCCCAGCTCTCTCTGGCTCCAGAGCGCTGGCCCTCACCACCAAGGCTGCAGGGGGTTTGATGAACTGTGTCTATCTGCTGGTCCTTAGGAGGCACCCTCACATCAGGGGAGGGCACCTAACAGGGAGAGGGGGCTGGCTGGAGAGCTCTTTATAACTTTGTCTTCTTTAGCCCTCACAACAATCCTAAGAGATGGGAATCTGTTACCAGTCTGATCCCAATCTACAGAAGAGGAACTGAGCCTCCGAGAGGCCAGGCACTTGCCCAAAGCTCTACGACAAGAAGCAGCAGAGCTGGGATGCAAACCTACGCCCGTCTGACCCCAAAACCCACATTCCCTCCATTCTGTCAGACCGCTTCCCAACAACGGCAGCCCGGGCTGTTGACGCACCTCCCGATTTGCACAACACCTTCAGCTGCGTTGTGCTCACAGTTGCGAGCCCACGGCAACCCCACAGGCAGGATTACCCTGCCATTTCACAGATGCAGCAGCTGAGGCTGAGAGGCTGGCGGCCGTGACCGATTCACATGCTCCAGGCAGCAGAGACGGACACAGCCAGGTCTCCTGACTGCTAGGCCCGGGTCTCTGGCCCCAGGCACCCCTTCCCCACACCCCAGCACCCCTTACTGCTGAGTCCCTGGCTTAGGAGCCCACCTGCATCACCAGGAATCATCTGTCTCCTTTGGAGATGAAGGAGAAGAGGGTGCCAGTCAGCCCGGACCCTGAGCCATGCCCTCTGGCAGGCCTGCCAGGCACAGGCTGTCTGAATGCCATGTTTTTAGGCAAGAGCTACCAGGCCCAGCTATCTCTCAGACATAAAACAAGTGCCACGGGTCCCCATAAGATGCTCCCGTGATGCCCAGTGTTCCGTGATATTGGGGTGAGAGAGCAGAATGGGAAAGTTCTGGTGAAAGGTCAGGCTACCCCCCTCAGAGACGCGTAGCCAGCCTTTGTCCAGCCACAGCACTGGTTACCCAGGGACCCAGCCACAGCCAGGAAGAGCTGGGTCCCTGGGATGTGAGGCGGGTGGGGCGTGGGGTAGATGGCACTTGGTTGGTTCAGCATAGCCCCCAACCTACATGCAGAGCCCCCCACCTGCACGCACAGCCCCCCACCTGCACGCACAGGCCCTGCTGGTGGCCCATGACAGTCAGCTGCCCAGGGCTGAGGGTATGCTGGAACCGGCTGTACTGGCTCTTGAAATCCGATTGTGCACATCGTGTCCCAGCTTAGCATTCAGGGATGTCACGTTGGTATCTTGAAATTGGCCATGGTGGGAATATTTACACTACAGAAATTGGCATGCACTGGAAATTGGGGCTTCCTGCCCGGTCCCTCCCTTCCCCCCCACCACCCTGTTGTTAAACATTTACCAGCACGCCACTGGTTCTAGTGGGGTGGGGCCAGGCCTCCAAAGAGCAGAACCTGGCTGCACGATGGGAAAGGAAGTGGGCAGGCTTGGCATTTGGTAGGCCCCAGTTCAAATCCCAGCTCTGCCATGAACGTAGTGGTTCTGCGCAGCCCTCTGAACCTCAGCTTCCTTATGTGCTGTGTGATCCTGGGCCTATTACCACCAGACCCCTTTAAATCTCTGCTGCCTCACCCATAGAATGAGGGTGAGGATGCCTATGCTCTGGGGATGAAGTAAGGTAACGCACTCACAGGGCCTTGCATAGAGAAGGGACAATAAATTATCATTAGTCTCAACTGTCAACAAGTGATATGTCCTGATCGGCCGAGGAAGCTAAATTAAGACGTGGATAAACTGACTTCCCAGATGACCTTTTAAATGCGATAACTTGCAGCTATCGTGATCATATTTCCAAGCTTGTGAAAGATTCCCGGTTTGAGAATGGTGAGCCATGGTGTTCCAGGACAGGGCTGCAGCCCCAGCCCCAACCAGCCCTGAAAAACCTGTGGTAGGGAAAAAGCACTTTTATTCCCAAAGATGTGAAACTTGGGCTGGAGAGGATCTTGACGTCTCAGTTGGGGCGGGAGGAGCCTGAGTCAGCTGTGATGTGGCGGGAAGAACCTGGCCTGTTGCGTGTCCAGGGAGGAGCCGTGGAGGAATGCTGGCACCGTTGCAGTTAGCTGTGTGGCTGTGGGCGAATCACTGAGCCTCTCTGAGCTTCAACTTCCACACTGATCAAACTGCCACTCAGGGCTGCTGTCAGAAGATGTCCATGAGCACTGGATGCACTGGTAAACGCTGAGCAGACAGGCGATATTACTACTAAAATGCCCACAGAAGTGAGGGAAGGGGACACTCTACAGCTGTCTCCCCTCACTCCCAGATGCACCGTTTCAGACCTAAAGTAAGCATTTCCATCCCAGAACGACGAGTGGCAGGACTGGAGAGGGAGGTGCAAGTCTGAGACTACAGGAAGGAATTCACACAGGGCTTCTAGAAGACCACCAGCTGTCAGACATGAGTCAGTCCCAGGCCTGAGGGCTGGTGCTGGCTCACGGGGCCTAGGAATCCCTAATGGGCTTGTCTCAGGACAGTCCTCCCTAACCCGTCACCGGACCCTCACCACTGTCTTCCCTGCAGACCTGTCCTTCAACAACATCGAGGCCATCGAGGGGCTGGACACACTGGTGAACCTGGAGGACCTGAGTTTGTTCAACAACCGGATCGCCAAGATCGACTCTCTGGATGCCCTCGTCAAGCTGCAGGTGCTGTCGCTGGGCAATAACCAGATCGGCAACATGATGAACGTGAGTACTCCAGTGTTGGCAGTGGCCTGCAGGGAGCTGGCGGCGGGAGCGGGGGTGGGGGGG